TTTATGAACCTTAATATGTTGTGGTATGGATGCTCTCTTGTGGCTGTCAACCTGTAAAATAGGTAATGACTGACTTCTGACGGTATACACTCTTCTCTTACCTGTGACTGTCAGGTAGTTATATATTCCCTGACCAAAGATCTCCCGCTACGGTATGCACTAATTCATTCCTCCCGATGTAAGTGTCAGATAAAACTTCCTCGTACGGCCACTGACTGTCATCTATAAGACAGGTAATGACTGATAATCATACGTGGTGGAAATGCTTTAGTGTGCCTGCTCATAGTATACCTGTTCAGTGACTATCAAGTAGACTCAGTGTCCAGAGATTAGGTTAGGTGTGGTATTTCTAGCTAAGAGGGAGGGAGAATTTGGGTTACCTCACATGTGGACAGGTTATGTAAGGTTGCTTTCAGTGTTGTCTTGTGGTGTATGGAAACATGGAGGTGAATAAAGAAGAAATTAATAAATAAACGAAAAAAAATAAGAATAAGAAGATGAAGAAGAAGGAGGAGGATGATCAAGAAGGAGCCACATATCAAAAATACATCCCTCACGAGTCAAAACACAGACGAACATTATCAGTCAGATCAGGACAGGCGGGGTAGGGCACAAAGCTAAGAGTATAATTAAAGAAAGAATAGTGTTGTGTTATATGGACTTGAGGATGTTATTGTTATATGAGAATGATTTAGTTATATTCAGTAAGGTTTAAGACTTACTAAGAATGTTGTAAATGTTGTAAATACTTTTAACATTCTACTTTTCACGTTCTGGATTTAGTTAATTTATTTTGAGTTTTTATTGGGAGTGATAGAGATAAATTGACTGGACATTCATACATACAAACATACATACATACATACATACATACATACATACATACATACATACAATACATACACGTAAATGAACAAATGCAGAAGCTTACATAAATATACAAGCCCAAAAAAAACACCCATACAGCACAAATACAAAAAAAACAAACACCCCACACAGATAAAACAAACACACATACACAAAAAACACCCACACATACACAGACATGGAAAAACACAACCACACACATACACACCTACAAACACGCACAAAAACAAACACACAAAACACTACACACACACACACAGACACAAACACAAACACAGAGACAAGGACAAAAACACCGCCACACAAAATACCAAACATAGTGAAATACAAGAGAAGAAATGCATCATAACCACACACAACTTGTCTAGTCAAACAGCTATAATTACATGATTACACATATAAACATCTACCAAAACAGATAACCATGCCGACCAAGGTAACCACAGCACACACGCAAACACAAACAATGTCAGCCGCAAAGCACAGACTGTAAGTGAGGCTAACCTAACCACAGCAACCACGTCGGAATCTAAAACGTTATAGTCTCAGCTTATGACTAGTTACTGTAATGAAGAGCCTTAATTAACACACTGGTATGATAGTTTATGTTACTCGAATGATACTTTATGACGTATGATTGTTTTTGTTGTTATTGTTATTTTGTTTTATTACTTTTATTGTCATTATTATTATTATTATTATTGAAGATTAGATTAACTTTCATTATCATACTTATAAATATAGTTATTCCAATTATTGTTATCAAATATTCTTCAAAATATAATATTCGCCAGATATTCTCAATCATAAAGATCTTTCAAATATTCGCCAAATATTCCTTACAGGCGAAGACATCACCAGTAATACACTTGAGGATATTCGCCAAAATATTCATCGGATATATAATTTTTTTTGGCGAGTTTTTCTTGAAATATCCGCAAGGTAATGGTAATTAGCAGAAGCACAGGCACACTTGGTGAGCCTGGTGGGAGTACGTGTAATTATTTTAATTGGTTCATTTCTCTCCTGCTGGGAAGTTTATGGTGTCCAAGACCTACCTACCTCCCTACCTACCTCCTCCTCTTCCTTCGTCTTCCCCTACCTACCTACCTCCTTACCTTCCTCTTCATCTTCCTCCTCCTCTTCCTTCGTCTTCCCCTACCTACCTACCTCCTTACCTTCCTCTTCATCTTCCTCCTCCTCTTCCTTCGTCTTCCCCTACCTACCTACCTCCCTCCTCTCCCCCTTCACCTACCCCCCTCCCCCCTATACCCTGTTGATGCCATGTCCTGCGAATTTCATTACTTACGACTCCCACCTCCTGCTGTAGTCAAGACCCCCCGTGCTACCCTCCCCTGCTTCCAAGACCTCTGTAAAGACCCCGTCTCTGTTGCTAGATCCTCCTGAAGCTTCCCTCTTGCCATATCTGAGTGAGAATTCCTCGACTTCTCTGAACGCCAAACTCTCCACAGTATGTTACCTTTCCCACCCACATGCACTCTCAAATCTATCCTCGCCATATCCTAATTATAATCCCAAGTCGCCATTATTTTAAGGAAGTTGCCTCTTGCCATAGCGTCATGTCAACTCTCTCTCTACCAACATTCCTTTGTCAAGTTCGAAGCCACAATTTGAAGCTTCTTTTCTCTTTGATTCCTCTTAACCCATCCCGCCATCACCTCCACACTGGACCAACACCAAAACCAACCCAACATTTTCTCTCACAGTCTCGCTTAACTTGTTTATATTGTCAACCATTAGAGTTCTGACAGGGTAAGAAGAGAGATTCTTACCTCAGAGAATAATGAGAGAGAGAGAGAGAGAGAGAGAGAGAGAGAGAGAGAGAGAGAGAGAGAGACTTTGCAATTTAGATGATGAAGTGATAATGAATAGAGAGATCCGGTAGTTAAGAAAATGAAGATAGCTTCAAGGAAGTTAATAAATGAGAAGACAGTTAGCGGGTAAGAAAATTAAACATGACTCAACAGATGTTATGTAAGAACACTTCAATAGAATCAAAACAAAAACAAATAACGAAAAGAAAACATCACATAAGAAAATAAGGAGAGATTTTCTACCTAATGTAAATAAGAAAAATCCTAAATATCAAAAGAAGACAATATTCGTTCATGACAATTATTCACATTACTGAAGACAACAAAGAAGGTTATTACAGTTGTTATATATGATGATTACTACCCCCCTCCCCCCCACTCTCCTCTGCCTCCTAGTAAGAACCCTGAAGGAGTATCTTGGATCATAGTTGAAGTTTGTATTGAGTACTTATTTAAAAAAAAAGTTCCCGTAGAAGTGTTGAGTGTCCTTGGGGTGTCTGGCTAAGCAGTATTATCTTCTCATTGTTCGTGGAGTTTGTCTTTTAGTCTAGTGAGTTACAAGAGTTCTAAATCTGGGATCTTGAGGTTCTTGTTTCTCTCAGTCGTTCCAAGAGTCTTAGGTCAACATTCCAAGAGTTTTAATCCTGTGGGTGTCCTAATGCTGTATCCAAGAGCTGTAGTTTTGTTCCAGGATCCTTTGGTTTTGTGTTGCTGTGACTCTTTGTTCTTCATATCAGGGATCCTATTCCTATGGTCTTAGGTTCTAGAGCCTACACCGACAGGAGGAGGTTCTAGGACTGGATTTTAAAGAATTCTAATGTAGTATTTTTTTTTACAGGACTCGTTCAGTCTTCCACGGGTTCTAGTCCTCGGATTAACAAGTTTTTATTCTTCATTCCAAAGGTTCCTCCATATTGTGTTCCAGTGGTCCTAGTTTTGTATTCCAGTGGTACTATCGTGTGTTCTAGAAGTCCTAATCTTACGTTTTAAAAGTTCCAGATTAATTACAAAGATATCAAGACTAATCAACACCACCCCACCCCCACCCCCCACAGACAGACAGACACCATTTACTAAAGACTTTACTCCACTACTATTGAAATTCATCTACCTTAACACCCCCCCTCCCCCTCCCCCCCTTCCCCACCCTCATACTCCAGTTCAGTGCTTCAGTAAGTTTAACCTCCAGTACTCCACCAAGTCTTTAGTCCAGTAATGAACCATCACTTGAGGAGTTCTGGGTCACCACACTTCAGGTCTTAATTTCCAGCTGTGCAGAAAATGAGTTCTCTGTCTAGGAGCGGTTTCTAGGGGCAGGTATTGCGTTTATCATTATATTTTATTTATTTATTTTAATTTTTTTTTGTCCCCAATGCGTCAGTTAGTTCAGTACCAGCCTTTACTGATCTGACTGAATGGGTGTTTCGCGTTTAAGGGATGTTTTTTTTTGGTTATTTAAGTGAGATTTAACGCTGGTTATGTTTAATTCTTGGTTAGTTTTTGGAGGAGGGTTTATTTGTAATGGAGGGAAAGATGGAGGGAGAGTGAGGAGAGGAGAGAGAGGGGAGGAGAGAGGTACAGACAGTGAAAAGAGAGGAGGAGAGATGTATTAACAATTTCACTAACATATAACCGACTTTTAACTTCGTCTAACTTTTATTGTATTTTTTTATTTACTTCTTGAATCCAAAAATGTTGACAAATTTCTAGTTTTTGGGGCAAGAGAATATATTTCCTCAATCTTTCTGGAGTGAAATGTTTGTTTTGCTTTCACCTGACACGAAGATATCCTGGCTACCTCGAACACACCACTAATAAACATTTTCACAATTACGAAAAATCAGACAACATGTAAATTTGACGAGAAGAAGAAAAACCCTAAAGGAAAAAGAAAAATATTAAGAAAAAAAAATATGACGTGTGCGGTGATGATAAGCAAAATGTCCTGTCTGGTGAGTGACAAATTGCCTAAAAAGCCCTGGAAAATTATGAAAGACATCGATATATACATTTACGAAGACGGTCTCACTTCTTTCCGAGAGAGAGAGAGAGAGAGAGTTTTGCATATAGAAGAAACATCTATATCCTGTAGACTATTACCCAAACCTTTAAGAAATCTTTCACAAGACAACAGTGATAGGTTTTAAAGTGCAACACCCGAGAGGTATTGCCAGAGACCTCCCTACCCTTTGTTATGTCTGTGGGAAACCAAAAAAAAAAAACCCGTACTATTTATCCTCCATACCTTGAAGAGTCACTCAAAACATAGGAATTAGAAGATGTTAAATGACAGCTTACCTACCGTGTGTGTGTTGACCGTAGTGGAGTAAGAGGAGGAGGTTAGTGTGTGTCGTTTTAGAAGGTAGACATACCGCACAGGTGAGGGAGTCGATCCATGGCCGTCACGTTGATCACCACCTCCCCTTTAGTGCTTGGTTGGTTTTGCCCATTTTATATTCTCCGCGAGGTGGTGCAGCCGACGGACGATCAGCCTAAAGGCGTCTGTGATCAAGGCGACATACGCACACTTCCTTCTCGTCTCCTAATCTGAGGAATGATAAACAAATATAAAATAACACCTTGGAGAGAGAGAAAAAAAATATAGTACATTATATGGGTATTTATATAACTGAGTCTCATCTACGTGCTAAATAAATAAATAAACACACATACATTCGTCTTTTTTTTGTTTTGGTTTGTGATTTTTTTTGTTTTTTTTTTCCAAAGATAAGGTTGGTGGTCTCTCAGGTCAGCTGTTCGTACGCTTCCTATTTTCTGAAAACATTGATTTCACACTGTGGAGGGAGCGTGATGTTGTCTGCTTGACCCCCAGACTTCCCCTCCACCGTCCCTCACCACACGGCGCTGTTTTGCTTGCTTACTTATCACCACCCCCCCCCCCCCCCTTCCTTCCCCCTCACTTGGGAATTAAATAATACTAGTATCGTAATGTTATGCCTCATCATTACTGCTACAAACTCCAACACTCACAGATAATAACAAAGTCGAAGCATTTCACTCGACAAAAACGCCAGTAACAACATCGAGTCCATGAATATGTTTTTCCTGTTACAACTTGTTATAAAACCAAATTAATCCTAAGTTAAGGTGAAAAATCTACCCAAATTAAACCAAAACAGTTAATAAATATATCTTCAACATATAGTTAGAGATTAATTCATAATCGATGCATCTTTTCCTTATCACTATACTACAGCAATGATCTGAATTACAGCCATACAACATGACAGGGAATTATAACACTGTTCTCACACTCATCCATTCCGAAAATCAGACCAGTTAGGACCCACATTCACCTATATATAAATCGGTACTAAGAAAATATCGGAATTTCCCTCAGATATTACCACTCCATCTAGACCTAAAAACATTACTATTCTGCTTCAACTTATTTACAGACTAAAAAAAAAAAATTACATACCAAAAATCACCGAGAAATAGTAAAAATAGACTCAATTACATATAAGTGATTGAATATTATATCACCTGTATATAATTATTAGTAGAAATCATTATTACTGTTCTTATATACGGAGAGTTTTAGAGTTACAATATTGATCAAAAACCTTCGAGAAGTATTGTAAAATGATATCAAAATAGAGTATCAATATATCGGGACTAACAGCGACTCTCCTTTTTGTTATCAGGAGAGTCTGTATATCAATCACCAATCACCACCAATCAACCAATCAGGAGAGTCTGTATATCAATCACCAATCACAAGTAATCAGGAGAGTTAGTAATATCAATCACCTATCACCACCAATCAACCAATCAGGAGAGTCTGTATATCAATCACCTATCACCACCAATCAGGAGAGTTAGTATATCAATCACATATCACCGCCAGTCAGAAGGGTTAGTATATCAATCACCTATCACCACCAATCAGGAGAGTCAGTACCAATCAGGAGTCAGTACCAATCAGGAGAGTCAGTACCAATCAGGAGAGTCAGTACCAATCAGGAGAGTCAGTACCAATCAGAACATCAAGGAAATACACGCTAAAACTTCTCAAGACTCTGCTGGTAGTCTCAACCAAATTCGTGACCTTCCCAGACCTGAAGATTGTCAACAGGGAGACTAGATATGTCGAGGGTGATACAATTTGAAATAAAAATCTTGATATTTTTTCCTCCTTGAACCACTTCTATCTTTTTTTTTCTCTCTCTCTCTCTCTCTCTCTCTCTCTCTCTCTCTCTCTCTCTCTCTCTCTCTCATTACCGCTACTACTATTACTACTACTACTACTACTACCATCATCGCTACCACCAATATCACTATCACCATCATTGTCAGTACTACCATCACAAATACAACCACCACTACCACCATTGTTATAACTACCACCACTGTTATCACCACCCTCACCACAACTACTACCACTACTACCATCACCACTACCACCATTGTCATAGCCACAATCACTACCACCACCACTACCCAGGGCTGAAGTTGTCTACATGCCTTCTTAAGATGTCAAGAATATCTTTCATTTCCCTCACTTCTCTCACTTCTCACTTCTCTCACCTCTCACCTCTCACCTCTCACTTCTCTCCTGTCAAGATTTTTACAGTTTTGTTTCTCAGTCTTCCAGTCGATTTATTTTTCCAGTTAAATTTGTTTTTTTCTCCAGTACAAAAATATCGCTTTTACAGTTATGGTTGTAAACATCTCGTCAAATTTCTTCATTTTTTTCCAGTTAAAATTCTAAAATCTCCAGTTAACATTCGTATTTTCCCAGTCAATATTCTAGCTTCTCCAGTCAATATTCTAGCTTCTCCAGTCAATATTCTAGCTTCTCCAGTCAATATTCTAGCTTCTCCAGTCAATATTCTAGCTTTTCCAGTCAATATTCTAGCTTCTCCAGTCAATATTCTAGCTTCTCCAGTCAATATTCTAGCTTCTCCAATCAATATTCTAGCTTCTCCAATCAATATTCTAGCTTTTCCAGTCAATATTCTAGCTTCTACAGTCAAAATAACTTACTTTCCCCGTCAAAATAACCTACTTTCCCCGTCAAAATACCTACTTTCCCCGTCAGAATACCAATTTCCCCGTCAAAATACCTACTTTCCCCACTGTTAATTCTATATATACACATCTGTTTTATTCCGTCACGATCCTCACATAACCAAACCAAAATTCTTCACCTTTTGGTTTGTTTACATCAATCCCCCATACCTGCACTGGTATATTAACCGCAAACCACATGTGTTTCATTAGCGGTCGTGGACAGGTGTTGGGAGAAGAGACTGGGAGGTGCGGTCAGTGATCCAGTCTCAAGTCGAAAAAGTCCTGTTAAATAAGACTGGTAACTGATGGTATAGACTGTCATTACGGCAGGTGAGTGTTGGTGTGTTTACCTGTCTAAAAGATGGTGTTTAAGTTTGTTTATACTACCTTAAGTTAATCTATTCTATATTAAGTTAACGTAATCGAGTTATATCTTTATCTGATCTAAATTTTAGTTAACCTAATTTAATCTAATCTAAAGTTAACAATTATCTATTCTAAATTAACCTAACCTAATCCAACTTCACGTAAAATATCTGCATTAACCTAACCTATACTAAATTAACTTAAACTAAATTAAACTAAACTAATGTATAAATATATTAAATTTCAACTAAAACCATATGATGTGAGGTTAGTTTAGGTTAGGTTAGATTAGGTTAGGTTAGGTTAGGTTAGGTTAGATTAGGTTAAAAGTGGTGTATCTGTAGTGAAAGTTAAGTTACGTTACGTTGGGTTAGATTAGGTTAAAAATAGCGTCCCTGTAGTGAAGATATTTAAACTATAGGAGAAATAAAGTTATTATATTACCTTAAGATTTCAATGACAAATCGCAAGAGATAAATTATGTAACCTGAGCTCCATGTTGTGTACGAGGCTGACCTAACCTAACCTAACCTAACCTAACCTAACCTAACCTAACCTATCAATTTGACTTCCATTTCTATCTTAACTGAAAGATAAGGACAATTCATATAGGTTTGATGATATTCTGACGCCATTTTGTTAAAGAGGATAGACCGGATATTCAATTTTATTAGAGTCTGAGTGGTATTCCGACGCCATATTTAGTGTCGTTAATGGCTTAGATCACTTCCGACGCCATATTGTTGACAAAGAAACAACACTTATATAATTTACACTAGAGTCTCACAACAAAACCGACGCCATCTTAGCCACCATCTTAAGACGAGATATAATCGGTCAGTTGCCATGGAAAGATTGGAAGAAATGTTAAGTTTATTCAGATGAGTCACAATCGACCATCTTAGCCCATGGTGACCGGGAACCAAGACTTAGCCCAGCCAGATGTCTACCAGGAAAGCCACGAGTCTACCAGTATGGCCACGAGTCTACCAGAATGGCCACATAGCTACCATGATGGCCATAAGTCTATCGGGATGGCCATACATCTACCATGATGGCCAGAAGTCTACCTGAATGGCCTAGAAAAAGGAAAATTTAATTATTTTTTCTCTGTTTCTCTGTTTGTTTTTCTTTTTCTATCTCTTCCGCCCCCTCCCTTTATCCCTCTCTTTTTTCTCTCTCTTCCCTCTCCCTCTCTCTTTTATTTTCTCTTCCTGTTTCTTCCTTTCTCTCTCTCCTATCCCTCTCTCTTCCTTCCTTTCCTGTCCCTATCTCTCTCTCTCTCTCTATGCTTTCCCTACTCTCTGTTTATCTTCAATCGCACTGAACACGAGTGATTCATTTTTCACCTGTCCTCACCTGCTGTTCGGTACGATTGTGTGTGTGTATGTGTGTGTGTGCATGTGTGTGTGTGCATGTGTGTGTGTGCATGTGTGTGTGTGCATGTGTGTGTGTGTGTGTGTGTGTGTGTGTGTGTATGTGTGTTGTTCCGTTTTCATATCTCTATCACATGCTTGCTGTGTCCCTATTTTATTGCATATTCTGCGTCTTTATATTCTTTCTTTTCTACTTCCTCTTCTTTATTTAGTTTTGTCTTGTCGACCTTTTATTTCATCACCTTTTTTTTCTATCTATGGTTTTTTTTTTTACTTATTTTTGGCACTTTTTTTTTTTGCTATCTAATCCTTGACATTGTTATCGTTGGCACTCTCGCTATCTCACTACGACACTTTTTGACACCAATTTCCTTTGACATTTTCGCTATCTTTGACACTATTTGTTGACCTTGTATCTATTTCTGACACTTTCCTTATCTCACACACACACACACACACACACACACACACACACACACACACACACATACACACACACACACACACACCATCTCTAAACCCCTATAAGAATCTTTTAAAAACTCGATTTACAGACACTCAGTTACTCAATAGGATCCGATAGATATATAGATAGATAGATAGATAGATAGATAGATAGACAAAAATAAAAGAAAAACCATTGACAGATAAGACAGGTAAACAGACAGACACGAAGAGATAAAGACAGAGAGACAGAACAAACACATGTATTATATACTGGGAAAAAACCCTGGGAGAAAAAAACTAATAAACACGACATTTTATAAT